CTTGAAAACGTCTTCCCCACATTCACCCCACAAAGATCTTGATGTGCAATCGAAAAAAAAATCATAGTAAAGAAATGTATCGGTGGCTCGTTGGTCTAGGGGTATGATTCTCGCTTAGGGTGCGAGAGGTAAATGAATCGACACAATCTTTTAAAGTTGTGATGGAATAAGGAGATGTACTACAAAGTCAACAAATATATGAACAACATTGCTTGAAAACATCTTCCCCACATTCACCCCACAAAGATCTTGATGTGCAATCGAAAAAAAAATCTAAAGAAAGTATGTATCGGTGGCTCGTTGGTCTAGGGGTATGATTCTCGCTTAGGGTGCGAGAGGTAAATGAATCGACACAATCTTTTAAAGTTGTGATGGAATAAGGAGATGTACTACAAAGTCAACAAATATATGAACAACATCGCTTGAAAACGTCTTCCCCACATTCACCCCACAAAGATCTTGATGTGCAATCGAAAAAAATCAAAAGGAAAGTATGTATCGGTGGCTCGTTGGTCTAGGGGTATGATTCTCGCTTAGGGTGCGAGAGGTAAATGAATCGACACAATCTTTTAAAGTTGTGATGGAATAAGGAGATGTACTACAAAGTCAACAAATATATGAACAACATCGCTTGAAAACGTCTTCCCCACATTCACCCCACAAAGATCTTGATGTGCAATCGAAAAAAATCAAAAGGAAAGTATGTATCGGTGGCTCGTTGGTCTAGGGGTATGATTCTCGCTTAGGGTGCGAGAGGTAAATTAATCGACACAATCTTTTAAAGTTGTGATGGAATAAGGAGATGTACTACAAAGTCAACAAATATATGAACAACATTGCTTGAAAACATCTTACCCACATTCAACCCACAAAGATCTTGATGTGCATTCGAAAAAAATCTAAGGAAAGTATGTATCGGTGGCTCGTTGGTCTAGGGGTATGATTCTCGCTTAGGGTGCGAGAGGTCCCGGGTTCAAATCCCGGACGAGCCCTGCAAAGCGTTCTCCTTTTAATGAAATCGACACAATCTTGTTAAAGTTGTGATGGAATAAGGAGATGTACTACAAAGTCAACAAATATATGAACAACATTGCTTGAAAACATCTTACCCACATTCAACCCACAAAGATCTTGATGTGCATTCGAAAAAAATCAAAAGGAAAGCACAATGTATCGGTGGCTCGTTGGTCTAGGGGTATGATTCTCGCTTAGGGTGCGAGAGGTCCTTAGGGTGCGAGAGGGGTTCAAATCCCGGACAGCCCTGCAAAGCGTTCTCCTTTTAAATGAAATTCATTACCATTGGTTAAAAAAAAAACAAATGAACCGACACAATCCGTTAAAGTTGTGATGGAATAAGGAGATGTACTACAAAGTCAACAAATATATAAACAACATCGCTTGAAAACGTCTTCCCCTCATTCACCCCACAAAGATCTTGATGTGCAATCGAAAATAAATCCATAGTAAAGAATGTATCGGTGGCTCGTTGGTCTAGGGGTATGATTCTCGCTCAGGGTGCGAGAGGTAAATGACTCGACACAATCTGTTAAAGTTGTGATGGAATAAGGAGATGTACTACAAAGTCAACAAATATATGAACAACATTGCTTGAAAACATCTTACCCACATTCAACCCACAAAGATCTTGATGTGCAATCGAAAATAAATCCATAGTAAAGAATGTATCGGTGGCTCGTTGGTCTAGGGGTATGATTCTCGCTCAGGGTGCGAGAGGTAAATGACTCGACACAATCTGTTAAAGTTGTGATGGAATAAGGAGATGTACTACAAAGTCAACAAATATATGAACAACATTGCTTGAAAACATCTTACCAACATTCAACCAACAAAGATCTTGATGTGCATTCGAAAAAAAATCTAAAGGAAAGTATGTATCAGTGGCTCGTTGGTGTAGGGGTATGATTCTCGCTTAGGGTGCGAGAGGTAAATTAATCGACACAATCTTTTAAAGTTGTGATGGAATAAGGAGATGTACTACAAAGTCAACAAATATATGAACAACATTGCTTGAAAACATCTTACCCAAATTCACCCCACAAAGATCTTGATGTGCAATCGAAAAAAAATCTGAAGGAAAGTATGTATCGGTGGCTCGTTGGTCTAGGGGTATGATTCTCGCTTAGGGTGCGAGAGGTAAATGAATCGACACAATCCGTTAAAGTTGTGATGGAATAAGGAGATGTACTACAAAGTCAACAAATATATGAACAACATCGCTTGAAAACGTCTTCCCCACATTCACCCCACAAAGATCTTGATGTGCAATCGAAAAAAATCAAAAGGAAAGTATGTATCGGTGGCTCGTTGGTCTAGGGGTATGATTCTCGCTTAGGGTGCGAGAGGTAAATGAATCGACACAATCTTTTAAAGTTGTGATGGAATAAGGAGATGTACTACAAAGTCAACAAATATATGAACAACATCGCTTGAAAACGTCTTCCCCACATTCACCCCACAAAGATCTTGATGTGCAATCGAAAAAAATCAAAAGGAAAGTATGTATCGGTGGCTCGTTGGTCTAGGGGTATGATTCTCGCTTAGGGTGCGAGAGGTAAATGAATCGACACAATCTTTTAAAGTTGTGATGGAATAAGGAGATGTACTACAAAGTCAACAAATATATGAACAACATTGCTTGAAAACATCTTACCCACATTCAACCCACAAAGATCTTGATGTGCATTCGAAAAAAAATCTAAGGAAAGTATGTATCGGTGGCTCGTTGGTCTAGGGGTATGATTCTCGCTTAGGGTGCGAGAGGTGTTCAAATCCCGGAGAGTTCTCCTTTTAAATGAAATTCATTAATTAAAAAAAAAAAACAAATCGACACAATCCGTTAAAGTTGTGATGGAATAAGGAGATGTACTACAAAGTCAACAAATATATGAACAACATTGCTTGAAAACATCTTACCCACATTCAACCCACAAAGATCTTGATGTGCATTCGAAAAAAATCAAAAGGAAAGTATGTATCGGTGGCTCGTTGGTCTAGGGGTATGATTCTCGCTTAGGGTGCGAGAGGGTCAAATCCCGGAGAGGTTCTCCTTTTAAATGAAATTCATTACCATTGCAATCGAAAAAAAAAAAAAAACATGAACCGACACAATCTGTTAAAGTTGTGATGGAATAAGGAGATGTACTACAAAGTCAACAAATATATGAACAACATTGCTTGAAAACATCTTACCCACATTCACCCACAAAGATCTTGATGTGCAATCGAAAAAAATCAAAAGGAAAGTATGTATCGGTGGCTCGTTGGTCTAGGGGTATGATTCTCGCTTAGGGTGCGAGAGGTCCCGGGTGAGCCCTGCAAAGCGTTCTCCTTTTAAATGAAATTCATTAATTGGTTAAAAAAAAAACAAATGAACCGACACAATCTGTTAAAGTTGTGATGGAATAAGGAGATGTACTACAAAGTCAACAAATATATAAACAACATCGCTTGAAAACGTCTTGATTCTCCCCACATTCACCCCACAAAGATCTTGATGTGCAATCGAAAATAAATCCATAGTAAAGAATGTATCGGTGGCTCGTTGGTCTAGGGGTATGATTCTCGCTCAGGGTGCGAGAGGTAAATGACTCGACACAATCTGTTAAAGTTGTGATGGAATAAGGAGATGTACTACAAAGTCAACAAATATATGAACAACATTGCTTGAAAACATCTTACCAACATTCAACCAACAAAGATCTTGATGTGCATTCGAAAAAAAATCTAAAGGAAAGTATGTATCAGTGGCTCGTTGGTGTAGGGGTATGATTCTCGCTTAGGGTGCGAGAGGTAAATGAATCGACACAATCTTTTAAAGTTGTGATGGAATAAGGAGATGTACTACAAAGTCAACAAATATATGAACAACATCGCTTGAAAACATCTTCCCCACATTCACCCCACAAAGATCTTGATGTGCAATCGAAAAAAATCTAAAGGAAAGTATGTATCGGTGGCTCGTTGGTCTAGGGGTATGATTCTCGCTTAGGGTGCGAGAGGTAAATGAATCGACACAATCTTTTAAAGTTGTGATGGAATAAGGAGATGTACTACAAAGTCAACAAATATATGAACAACATTGCTTGAAAACATCTTACCCACATTCACCCCACAAAGATCTTGATGTGCAATCGAAAAAAATCTAAAGGAAAGTATGTATCGGTGGCTCGTTGGTCTAGGGGTATGATTCTCGCTTAGGGTGCGAGAGGCAAATGAATCGACACAATCTTTTAAAGTTGTGATGGAGTAAGGAGATGTACTACAAAGTCAACAAATATATGAACAACATCGCTTGAAAACGTCTTCCCCACATTCACCCCACAAAGATCTTGATGTGCAATCGAAAAAAATCAAAAGGAAAGTATGTATCGGTGGCTCGTTGGTCTAGGGGTATGATTCTCGCTTAGGGTGCGAGAGGTAAATTAATCGACACAATCTTTTAAAGTTGTGATGGAGTAAGGAGATGTACTACAAAGTCAACAAATATATGAACAACATCGCTTGAAAACATCTTCCCCACATTCACCCCACAAAGATCTTGATGTGCAATCGAAAAAAAATCTAAAGGAAAGTATGTATCGGTGGCTCGTTGGTCTAGGGGTATGATTCTCGCTTAGGGTGCGAGAGGTAAATGAATCGACACAATCTTTTAAAGTTGTGATGGAATAAGGAGATGTACTACAAAGTCAACAAATATATGAACAACATTGCTTGAAAACATCTTACCCACATTCAACCCACAAAGATCTTGATGTGCATTCGAAAAAAAGTCATAAGGAAAGCATCTATCGGAGGCTCGTTGGTCTAGGGGTATGATTCTCGCTTAGGGTGCGAGAGGGGTTCAAATCCCGGACGAGCCCTGCAAAAAGTTCTCCTTTTAAATGAAATTCATTACCATTGGTTAAAAAAACAAATGAACCGACACAATCTGTTAAAGTTGTGATGGAATAAGGAGATGTACTACAAAGTCAACAAATATATGAACAACATCGCTTGAAAACGTCTTCCCCACATTCACCCCACAAAGATCTTGATGTGCAATCGAAAAAAATCCATAGTAAAGAATGTATCGGTGGCTCGTTGGTCTAGGGGTATGATTCTCGCTCAGGGTGCGAGAGGTAAATGAATCGACACAATCTGTTAAAGTTGTGATGGAATAAGGAGATGTACTACAAAGTCAACAAATATATGAACAACATTGCTTGAAAACATCTTACCCACATTCACCCCACAAAGATCTTGATGTGCAATCGAAAATAAATCCATAGTAAAGAATGTATCGGTGGCTCGTTGGTCTAGGGGTATGATTCTCGCTCAGGGTGCGAGAGGTAAATGACTCGACACAATCTGTTAAAGTTGTGATGGAATAAGGAGATGTACTACAAAGTCAACAAATATATGAACAACATTGCTTGAAAACATCTTACCAACATTCAACCAACAAAGATCTTGATGTGCATTCGAAAAAAAATCTAAAGGAAAGTATGTATCAGTGGCTCGTTGGTGTAGGGGTATGATTCTCGCTTAGGGTGCGAGAGGTAAATGAATCGACACAATCTTTTAAAGTTGTGATGGAATAAGGAGATGTACTACAAAGTCAACAAATATATGAACAACATTGCTTGAAAACATCTTACCCAAATTCACCCCAGCAAGATCTTGATGTGCAATCGAAAAAAATCTAAAGGAAAGTATGTATCGGTGGCTCGTTGGTCTAGGGGTATGATTCTCGCTTAGGGTGCTTAGGGTGCGAGAGGTAAATGAATCGACACAATCTTTTAAAGTTGTGATGGAATAAGGAGATGTACTACAAAGTCAACAAATATATGAACAACATCGCTTGAAAACGTCTTCCCCACATTCACCCCACAAAGATCTTGATGTGCAATCGAAAAAAAATCAAAAGGAAAGTATGTATCGGTGGCTCGTTGGTCTAGGGGTATGATTCTCGCTTAGGGTGCGAGAGGCAAATGAATCGACACAATCTTTTAAAGTTGTGATGGAATAAGGAGATGTACTACAAAGTCAACAAATATATGAACAACATCGCTTGAAAACGTCTTCCCCACATTCACCCCACAAAGATCTTGATGTGCAATCGAAAAAAAATCAAAAGGAAAGTATGTATCGGTGGCTCGTTGGTCTAGGGGTATGATTCTCGCTTAGGGTGCGAGAGGTAAATGAATCGACACAATCTTTTAAAGTTGTGATGGAATAAGGAGATGTACTACAAAGTCAACAA